TACTGTACTTAAGTACATATTTTAGATTGTACTTACATTTGTACTTAAGTACCTTTTTAAAAGTACTTTAACAGCTCTGAGTGTGAGTGGGTGTGGGTGTGTGTGTATGTGTGTGTGTGTGTTTGTTCATATGAGCGCCAAGGGGTGGATGTCAACAGAGACGTCTAAACGAGGAATCAGGCTTACTTCTCTAGCCTCAACAGCACAAAGTCTGCTTCGACTATCAAGGCATCACAGAAATAGCAGTTCACAAGAGAATGACAAACATACAAAAGAAGTACTGCAGTGGAAAAGGATGAAGAAAGAAAAAGCAGCAGTTCCACCTTTGTTGTTCCCGCACAGTATGAGCATGACTTTGATAAACAGCCCATTTACAATTCTAATGTGCATAAGAACATGTTATACAACTTCCCTGCAGGCACACGGAATTATTCAATTACAAAAGAAATCGTAATGTCTCGTTCTGTTGACAACGTCCAAAAATCTGAGAGCATAAAGTTGTCAGTAAAATTCAGCAGGTGCTCTGGTGAGATTTACTTCTTCTTTCCTATGAAACATCTATAGTTCTTATCTCTCCTCCTTTGTTGTGTATTACATTACTCTATAGTAACACCTCGAATCTTCGACACTCTTAAGACTTAATTGAGTTGCAAGTGCCTTTAACCTCTCACTAAAACTAGACTTCAGATACATATCCAGTGCAGTCACAGTGCATGCACCTGTTTTTTTTCTGCCCAGGTTGTGAAGCAAACGGTGCCTGCCATGCCATAGGGTCTGTGTTCGAGACCAACTGTGTGCTGAAAGCCTGCAAGAAAATCACATACCCGGACCGCAGTGTTCTGTCTACGGAAGTTCTCATGAGACGTGAGGAAGATAGTTGGCTTTTACACGAACTATGAATTAAACAAACGCTAACACACGTACACAGAAACACAGGCACACACATACACTCATGGGACGTGAGAGAGGTAACAGGGTCTTGCACGAACTACGCGTTTCGCACTCGCTTACACACGCTAACAGACACAAACGTACACTCACATAGATTCAAACACATATACTCATGACACACACACACACACACACAGACACACACACACACACACACA